TTTTAACAGATATTATTATTTTAGGTATTAATACTTAGCGTGATTTTACCACATTTTGTGTATTCCATGCTGTTTTAAATTTTATTTATATAATACAGTAAATTATTATTTAAAAAAATTGCCTGGAGAGATACATACACGAAGAAATAGCAGATAGACGAACAGGCTTAAGGATTGATTGGAACGTAATTTCGATTAAACGCGTTAAATGGTTCTATCTTCACAGATAGCTACTCTGAAATATCCAACGCTCCAATTATTAAATGGCGCGTATTTGATAAAAAAGAACACACTGTTCTTTATAAAGCAACAAGGCAGAATAATAGAATTTATGTTTTGCGCCAAGTCACGTCCATAAATATGAAATATTGGAAAAACCGCTAACCATTTAACCGATTAACCCTCCTCGCACTATATCCGCTTTATCGAACGCGCTTGGCGAAGTGTTGTTGTACGTTCGATTGACGTCGATCCATCGATAAATTATGCGGGCGTCCCATGTTTATCATTTCGAATCCACGTTTCATTGCGAATAATTTATCTATCGTCCAAGATTCTGCTCTATCGCTAAAAATGAAATTCAACAGGTGCAGAACTGCCCGTTTTCTCTGTTCCACGACGTATTATTCTTTCAGATTCTGTTTGAGATCCACTCGCTTTTCCGTTCAGTTGCTCTCTACATTTCCTCCGACGACTTGTGAATCTCGCACTCTAGGGACATGGGATCGTCGACAGGATTCCTGAATAATCTATCCAGAGTAGCGAATCTAAATCAATTAATCGCGCGTTCTGTAGAATGATTTTAGGCAGAGCGTCGCTATTGCTTGATCGATAATTCGATAAACGTTGATTGTATTATTATCCCAAATGATAATAAAATAAAACTAAACAACTTTTACCGTGATCTTTATCAAGAATCAGATTAAGATCTTTTAGTAGTCGTAAAAGGGAGATGTCAGCCGTGTACGCTGAAGGGATAGAAACCACGAAAATGTAGGCAGTTCTTTTAACAGAGTGGTAGCTTCATTACATCGTTTTGTGATGCAGTGTCGTCTGTTTTAAAGGAAAATGTTACCTACAAGCCAATATCGATTATCCAGCATGCAGAAAATTTGACGAACTCTTCTGCAAAGAAATACTTTATCCCTTGAACACCGATTTAAATGAAATCGAGCAAATCGAGAAAATAGAAGATTCGAACTTTGATTTCCATCTTGTCGCATCAAATTGCTAGATTATTATATTATAAATATTAACAAGATTATAGATCTCTGACATTTGATAAATTTTCACTAGGGTGTATTCGAGTGACGCTATAAATTTTGTCCAGCCTAAATTTTGTAGCCTAAACAATTGTACGTAGTTTAAAAGAAAACGATCGTCAATGATCGAAAAAAGAAAGAAACAGGGTAGCTTGGATATTCCAAAAGAAAACGCGACAATAGTCGATAGAAACGAAAAAAGAGGGCGACTTATATCCTTTGAAGAATTCAGTTAAGAATAGCTGACGATCGAAACAGGAATAAAGACAAAATATGGATGCATAGACTAGAAAAGGCAGAGTGGTGGTAGATCAAAGAGTTATTGACCAACCTGTCAATGTGACTCTTATTCGAGACAGGGTAGCTGTTCGCGCGCAAGAAACCGCTTTGATGACGTCTAATATATCACGCAATGCTTCCTTCTATCATCGTCAAAATAGAATGGCCGGTGGTCGAGTTCAGGGCTCCACGTGTCTATATCGATTTATAATTTTTTAAACATTATCCTATTCGGTATATATTTTGTGTTATTTTCAAAGCATGTACGAGAGATTCTAGTAATCAGATATAATTTTTTTAACATAATGATTTTTGATAATACGAATTTTTAAAAGTATGAAATATTTGACGATACAAAATAGTACAAACTGAAAACTATAAAATATTCACGTTCATATTCACGCGAAAAAGAATAGTACAATATTGCCCAATATAAAACAAATTATACGTACACATTATCTTCTTTTCCAAAACCTTCGAAAATTCTCCAAAAAAAAAAAAAAATAAACGTGGGAAACGGTTTCATTAAATGAAATAACGTTCCCGTTCTTTTCGCGAAATTTCAACAGACATTGCTATTCGTTGAAATTTAATTTAATTCCTCTATCCTCGCACTAAATTTCGAGACCACCGGTACGAAACGTACGTAATTCAGTATAGAGCTGTGAATTTTACATTCGAGCATTTAACGGTCAGACCACAGGTCGTCTTCTGCGTCATTAATTTATTTCATTGTGTTCCGTCTCTCTTTTACTTCGCCCTGGTATTCGTTGGCTAACCGTTGTACGCTTTTTTGTCTGAGGCGCGTGGCCTGCCGCTTGGACTCGGCTTTTAAATCTCGTTAAATCGCGACAACGGCTCAAACGCGACTCAGCTCAGACGTCAATGCATGCGCATATATTTTGAGCGACGTCGAATCGCTCGTAAAATCCAATAACCATGCGTTGGTATTGGTTTCGAAGGACAACGATCGAGAACTCCAGAATTCCAGTTGTTCGAACGAATGTGAAGCGTCCTTCTCCGTGTGTGTCTCAGCGAATACTCGTTACATTTTAGCAACATTTTTGGCTATACGTCGTGCACGTATAATTACGTAATTATTTACCGAATTTCTAACACCACAACTTTCTTGCATAATAATTTATTAACTAATAACGTTATTGCATCGATTTCAGTTTTATCATTTTACGTTTGCTATAGGTTCGAGTAAAATTGTTTTTCTTTTTTATTGTGGGAGTTTTTCGTCCATTAAATATTACTCGACGCTTGTCTACGATCGTAAATTGTTACGTTTTTGCTTTTGCATTTTTCTAAATGCGACCGTTTCTTACAAGCATTAATTCTCAGAGAAGTCAAGAGATCTCGAAAGTGGGTAGAGCGTAGTCCATACGTTAAAATTAAAAGCACTAGGTCACGGTACTTGGCCTCGAGCTTGAGTAACGAACACGACGTTTTACAATGTCGTGAGAATCGAAAACTAATTAATAATAAGAAGAAACGTAACAGACACGATATAAATTTGCAAAGACTCGAATAACCAGAGCAAACGAGCCGAAACTAAGCTAATATTTCTATAAGTTTACAAATTTTAACAACGTAAAGCTTCTTTTACGTAAGGAACGACTGAAAGCTAGAAACGTGAATTCTTTCCTCGAATTGTTTCATAAAACAAAGAATTCTTTATTTTCACAGAAGTACAGTCTTATCGGGACGCGATTATCACGCTAGTCTTAATCAACGGTATATCTACATATGCGTATTTTTGCTTCGTTGTTATTACTAGCATCGCCAACTCTGCCAATCACCAGCAATATCGCCAATCGTAGCGCTTTTCGTTTTTACGAACGTCTTCGTCGAGCTGAGCGATCAAAGGCGCACGAAGCTCTTACCGACAACTTTCCCTTTTCAAACGATCGTGAGCGCGCCCGCGCGTGTGCACAGCACGCAAAATCGTCGTATATGCACATGCTGCTAATGTAACGCGGCAAAATATATTACGCTATGAGATCATGCTGCAGTTGAATTTCACGAGCGACAGAAACGTAGCGTAGAAAGATACTTTGAGCTCGTAATTAAACGAATTTCTGTCAAATTACGAACTACGTACCCGCATATATGTAGATACACGGTGCCATATATTAATCTCGTTTCAATCCTGCACCATAAACGTGAATTGTTATTTTGTTGCTATAAAAGATATTGTTATTTTGTTAATATAAAAGATATTGACAACAATACATGTGAAAGAAAAAATTATCTTAGTTTAAACTTTGTAACATACTGATTTATTAAATAAAATATTAAGTAATACCTGAGAGGATGCGAGTTTGGGAAAATGAGAAAAATACGATTGTTTATACAGTTGCTAGAAGTTAATAATCACGGAAATTAAACGATGCAACGATAGAGCGCATCGTATGCCGTATGGAAATCGAGAAAAAACTCGAGTACTGAAACAACATTTCTAGCCTGGCGTAATAATTCACACAAGAATGTCTAACAGTAAACACAGTAATAGAAATATCAAACCATAGCAAGATCAGCAGTTTTATTTGTTAACTGCACATGTACAATTTTTCTTTACCTTTATCCGTGGCGAAATCTTTGAATTATAAAATTCAATTAGGAAGTCGTTGAACATCGTGCGCCTAACTCGCCCACGATTCCGGCTTTCGTCAGATTTTTCCTTCCTTTATCGTATCACGAGCAAGAATTTCGTAAAATCCGAATTTTATACACGTTACGTGGCATAATCGGTCGCTCGAAGCAAGTCAACGCTTATCGCAAACTTTATCGCCGAATTGTATGCACGTGACGATACTCGAGTCGATAGAGCACGCACGTAAGACTTGCTACTACCGGCGTCGTTGTGACGTCGATTTCGCACCGATGACGATTTATACAGCTTTATACCGATTCCGAAGTTAAGGTAAGCGGAAATTGTCATCCCTCTTCGGAATAAAACATTTCGCTATATTCGAGTATTGTTCTACGAGTAGAGATATTTTAAGAGCGACTATTGTTTATTAATGAAGAGAGGATATGAATATTCCATTACTATTCAGACGAAAAACATTAAACTAGCCTGGGGAATATATATTGTATTTCCTGCATATATCGCGTTATGAAAATGACAATAGCTCGAGGTAGTTGACAAATAACACACGCGTCTATAGGAATTTTGTATTATTTCCGTACGTTCCATACCGCGCAAGACAAATTATTTATGCATATTTGAATTAGAATGGTGTTCGAATGAGCATAAAAAAATTGTAATACAAGAAGAAATTATTTATTTTCAAACAAGGAAGTAAATCGAATTTACTTGTTAATAGAAAACAAGATGAAATAGTAAAAATAAGAAATTTGAGATATTACTGATATAATAGCGTTACTAGCATAATATAACTTCTGATACAAATTGACGTTAAATTAATCTTGATTTTGTTCCACTTGCAGAACAAGACCACCCAGAACCCTACTATACAGTTCCTAGGAAACGAAGGGGTAAGTGAAAATCACTTTCCATTATTTGCATACTTGCATCGGTAGAATCGCGCGATACGTACAAGTTTCCGACTCCTCTGTCTGTTCGAGTATAATCAAGATCGATTTTATGCGAAAGATTACAAAAAATTCACCAGCTACTTGCTGCCAATCTCATAAATCAACCGTAAATCGTTGTTCCGTTTTTCTAAATCGTGACAGAGGCGATATTTAGCAAATATTTATTCAACGACATTGTAAATATTTTTTATCCCTTTTTAAAGAGATTATCTATCTTACAAAGTCATTTATGCTTTGGTTTATCACGTTCAGTATCTTAAATCAGGCTGATACAGAATATGATACGGAATGGTTTCACAAGTCAGACCGATTTAACAAAATTTCGCAACATCCGTAGATACAAGTTTTTATTAGTCAATTATGATTGAAAAATTAATTAGACAATTTGTTACTTTCAAATCATTATAGCATGCTATTTTATTATTACTATAATTAGAAAAGAGTTTTCAATCACAGGAAGCGAAACAAATTAAACGACCTAGATCTACGCCTTTCTCTTTTCAAAAAGGAGTAAAATATTTATAAATACAATACCCTTCGGTACCTTCATAGAGACCTTTATCAGCCTGATATTTTCTATCTGTCTGTCTGAGAGAGAAATCGGAAACCCCGTAAACGCGCAACCTCTACAATTATACAGAGTTTTATATTATAAAAGTACACAGAAAAACTTGAAGTAATTTTCAACAAAACCCTCTATTACTCGAGAATTTCTAGATAGAATGCCAAGTTCCCATTGGTTTTAATGCGGTATAAAATTCGCGAAATTCCGCATCGACGATCTACGCTCACGTAGAATCGGACGTAATTCTTCTGAGAAGCGACTGGAACTTAAAAAATCCGTGTAATCACGTTCGCGAGATGAAGAATAAAAAATTGCCCTGTAGCGCATGCGCCAGCTACGCAGCGCACGAACTTCGCGTCGTCGTTCGCGCGTTTTCCGCGAAACATCGTTTAGCGACCGTTAAGCTTTTCTCGGAAGATTTTCCGCCTCTGTTGGTTGTATTTGAGCGCAAGCATGTCTTTGCGATTCGTTATGAAAACTTTGAAATTCGTCACGCATCTTACTGAAAATTACGAGGCATTAGAGTAGGCGAGGGAAAACCGAGAGTTGAGGTTATGTTATGTCGCAAAGGCGGGTCGATACGCGGCGCTGAATGTATGCTGATGGTAAAGTTTCGGAATTATCGTGTAGGTATGGGTAAAAAAGGTTTCTCGATGAAAGTTCTTTTATAATTCGCTCTAATGGTAAATAAAATGGCGACAAAGAGATTGTTGGCGGAGAGAGATTGTTCTACGATGTTACTACTTATATTCGTATTTTCGTATATGAAAGACGAAGGATCAAGATACTAATAATTTAAAATAAGAAAAAATTCTGGGTGACGTGAACTACAGAAATATACGGGACTTGTATTTGCTTGTAGATTTAGCTGTAACAAATACACGCGCAAGAAATCTCTTTTTTTTTAAATTCCATTAAAGTTTTACTGGTGTTAGCCACTGTGAACCTTCAACGACCACGTAACACAGAATAACTTAGCCACATTTACAAATTTTTTAACACGTTCGCCGTAATCCGATTTTTACTACCCTTAATGCAATCTTTCATACAATACCCTTCTCTACATTAATAAGGCTTTTAACGTAAGATGTACTTTTATTAATAAAACTTATATCTTAATAACTTACTTTAATAATTTCTATACAATTATCGCGTTTCTAAATTTCCCGTAAACACCCACAGTCTATCGATACGAATTCTTACGACATTCTCCCACAATGTCGACTCGCCGTCTTATTTGATAAATGTGTTAACAAATTATCCTTAAACGATTAAACATCGGTAATCATTCAAGGGGGTAAAATACGAAAGATGATGAAGTAGAACGTTCTTTACCGCATCCCTTTGTGAAAAGAAACGAGAGTGAGAGGCGTGACACATTATCGATCGCGTGCACGATCCTCTCCCGTTACAAGAACGAAGACACGCGCGCGCAGAGATCTTCTCGCGCTGGGATCGGAGGATCGGTGGTGATTACTGCGCGTGTCCGTAGACGTGGCCAGGCACGGCGTCGAAGGTTTCTACTACGGTGAAGGCGATCGAGGTCGTTCGAGCAAGGTTATACACCATTTTCTCCCGTGCCGTTCGTTGATTCGCTCGTACGTTCGTTGGTCGCGTCGATCGTTGCTCGAATACCCGGCAAACACACGGCGGTGAAGCTGCCAGCCAACTTCTTAGGGTCCTTGGTTCATTCTCGCGGACGATTTTTCGAAGGCTGAAGGAGATCGTATTTCGAGGTTGCATCGATGACGCCTCGGTTCCGGGATCCTGTGAAGACTCGATGATCTTGAAATGGTTTATTACGGATGCTCGAGAAGCCTTTCTTATGCGTCGATTAACCCTTTACGATCTATTTGCTACATTCAACTGAACCGGACGATCGTATGAAATACGTTCTCTTGACACTAAACCTTGATTCGACGTAAACGTATTTATCTCGCTACGTCCGTAGCGTTCCTTTATTTTAAAGAGTTCTGTACTTTTCAGGTTGTAGTAGAATTGTGTTTGTAGGAATTTGGGAGTTTGTAGGACTTTACATTGTAATTGGGGGCTATCAATTTTCTTCGCCAGCTATATATATTTTTTTTTCGGGCATACGATAGGAGTTCAGCTCTGAGCTCTGTTATAAAATAACTTTCTAACTAATACTATCGGCAAATTGACAAGTTACAAGTTGTATAACGTTTACAATTTTACGTTTACGATAGGATAATCGGATAGTTCGTAGAACATTCTAACTCTGAAATTTCATTCGTTTTATTAGCAAATCTGTATCTATTTAAACGCGTCGAAGAGAATATTTTGATGCTGGAAGCTTGTAATTCTTTCGGCTTATAGAATTCCATTGTTAATTACACAAAGCCCGAATGGGTTCGATTGCCAGAGATATAGTTAATCCGGCACTGACTAAAATCTTGTTCTAACGAATGAAGTTCATGTAAACAGAGTTTTACCGTGTTATCTTCTACTAGAATAAGAAAACATCGAGAAGAATGACCTTCCCATGTTTCTTTAAAATCAAAGAAAACATCTTTTAAGCGTAGAATCCTAATAAGAACGAGCAACATAAATCTTTCAATAAGTTCTAAAATATTCAAATACACAACAGATTAGGTAAATATGAATCACTTGAAATGTCAAATATAAATGAATAAAGTGGCAATAAAGTTCTTACTGCGTAAGAAACATCGATATTTTCCCCAAAATGAACAATATGTGTCGGTTATCTGTAAACGTTATCTAACTGTATATCATAATCCCGATGTTGAGAATCGATTTATCGGCACGGAGACCTTGGTCTTGCAGGATATTGATTTTTCCAACAGATAAAAGAACTGCTTGATGATAATCTGGAATATTTCAGGTGATTATCTTACGCTCGTTTCCGTTGCTGCATAATTTATCCTTAGTTTCTGCCGTGAAACATTCCGAACGATTCGCGTATTGAACACAACGACGATGTATTTTAAGATCAGCTACGATTTCCGAAAACGTGGCCAGCCGCGCTAAGCTTTACCGTGTGTCGCAAGTGGTTTGCGAACGTTTTCCAGTAGCTCGTGTTTCTTGCTCGTTGCGTTTAATCGTTTCTTTTTCACGATTGTAATCAAAACAATTTTTCATTACAGTGTCACACAAACAATAAGTCGATCTATCAATAATTAAAAATGATTACTTTGAACGTTCTACAAAACTGAGATAATTACGTCTACTTATGAGTCACACATAGTAGCTGCTACATATAATCCACGATTAAACCATCATTTCGATTCCCCATTAATCCAAATCCCTTTCGCTCGTACCAAAACTCTTTCACTCGTGCAACAATGAAAGAATAATAAAATACAAAGAAACAAGGATTTTGGAATAGAAGTTAACAAAGTGAAAGTATTGTAGGATACGAGTAGCTGACGCACTGGATAAATGATAATTTAAAATAATTTTTAAAGCAAGCACTTGTAAATTCACAATATGCTGTTAGTTTTATAGACACGCTGCTTTAGACTCTGATTATTATTATTTATGCGGAATGGAAAAAGTGGCCTTGCCATCGTCTCGTAAAAGCTGCTGCACGCGGTTGCTCGCATATCCTTTCACAAAGCCGCGCCGTTGTCACATATACGAAATTGGTTCTCCCTGTAGAAGGAAAGGAAGGTGACCGACCTGTTGGCGGTCTTCGTCCGGTCGCGCTCGACTTTTCGGGCGTGGCTGACTGTCTCATCGATTAAGTGCTGTTTCGAGATGCTGCTTGGGGGGAACAACGAGCAGGGAAAGTTGCAATGTTAAAGAGAGATGTTAAAGGGAAAGAACTGCTCGGTAATTTTGATTTACGGCTGATTGTTATTACTCGATTGAATAACAGTCGTTTCAACGTCACCTGTTGCGACGCATTCGAGGAAACTGCGTGGAGATTGGTTTTACATAGGCGATTCTTATTCGTTGCTATGTATTCGGTATTTGGTCGAATTGGTTGGTTCTAGCATAGAAATTCGTTTCTACAATTTTTACGACGTTATTGTCACGCAAAATTAATGATAAAAAAGAAATAGTTGAGCAATAACTTGACATGACGGTGCTTTTATAATTTTGTAGGCTTTTATTCACGAAAATGATTAAGTATAATAGCACAATGAAGTAGCGAAGTTAAAATAGTCGTTCAAATCGCGGCCAAACTGTACACAAGATTAGCCTCGTGGTCGAATACTCGCAGTTTGTATATGTTGCGTTTGTTGGTGTTGAGGGGCAAAGAGAGGATCCTGATTGTCATACGTAACGAGGAAAATGTAAAGTTTGGCCATGTGCAAAGGTCAAGTCAAAACTTATCGGTTCGTTGTCAAGTAGTATGGAATGGTGTGAATTTGGTTATGGTCATTGTCAC